ACTTTAAGATGTATTTTTAAAAAATTCCTTTTCCATTTAATTAAAAAAAATAATATACAGGAAGATTTACTAAAATTGTTGATTCCTTTCTCATACTTTATATTTGTTTGTTTATTATTATTCCTATTATAATATAAAAGTAAAATACAATCATGGTCTATAAAAGATATTATAGTGATCATCTATTACATTTTCGAAAGCCTTCCATGATACTATCGATAGTATCCTACGGCCCACCACTACACACACACTAAGAAATGAATGACTTGGTCTAGCGGCGCGTCGACGAAACTCGCGCGCTACGCGCCGCTAAGCTGCGTTACCCCTCCTCCGCTTCGTCATACTTCACCACCCAAATAGTTAAAAATTCACTGTATACAGTGCCTTAAACTCTGACCACGAAAAGAACCAGCCCTCTTGTCACCAGCCGCTGTGATAAATCTAGGCCATAAATCTTTCAAAAATTTCGATGTACGGGGGGGAGGGGGACCCGACGGTCCAAGAACGCACGGAAGCAAGTAGCGACACTAGAAATTTTACTTACACCAAGTCGCCAAAACGAATTGGTAATGCAACTTGAGTCCAGATTAATTCATGAAGAGATAAATTTAAATTTTTCTATTTTTTCTTGAACTGCTTTTTATGATAATCAGTTTTGTTCAAAAAGTCACCACATTAATTCCAAACTGGACTCGAGCACAAGAAATACGACGACAAGAATAGAATGTCGCAAAATAGTAAGCGCAATGTGCGAATTTTTTAAGAACATTTTGTTAACATGGTCTAAAAATTGATTTAATTTTAATTTCAATAGAGGTTGCAGACTTAGTACGAGTATTAACAAAGGAGCACCTAACACGTAAAGTGATGAGTAAAAATTTTGGGTAAAAATTAATCTAATAATTTCGATATGAGAACTTTGTACGTCGTCTACTTTACCTCCTGACATGCCATCGTCTAATGCTAGACATTAAGTTTAGATTTCAATTTTGAAATAATTGATCGAATTCCCAAACTACTATGCTGGTCCTAGTGTATCCTCCCTGTTGAACGCTGACGGCAGAATTTATAATATTATCTTCATAAAATAAATTAGTCTTTTCTCTGTAACATTTCCAATCATAATGATAACTTTCCCTTGTATGGTTAGAAATTTCGTTAAGCAGAGTCGTTCTATCAAAGTCGAGTTCAAAGCATTCTTTGTTTAACCTTCAAAATCACTCACGCAAATGATAGACCTTAATGCTCGTTAATTGATATTTGAAATGCCTATATTAGGCATGCAGTAGGTTCTATTGGTGACATTATTTAATAACTTAATTGTTTATTATTGACAATTAAACGTCTACATATATAAAACAACTATTAGCATAATGCAGTGATATAAAAAAGGTAACTTCGATATTTAAATGAGTAGAGAAAATGTTTCGAAAATGATCACGTCGACAAAATTCAATCACGTCAGAAAGTAAAAAATTTACTTTCACTGTTTGCATTCGTGGCCATTAGAGGTTGAGTTTATTCTTTCGCAATCATATATTTTCTTGTCATTATGCGAAGGCATTCCTAGTGGCTGTTAAGTAAATATAAATACAAAAAATACTGTACGAAATCAAAAAGATTTAGTAACTTTTAAATTAAAAGTGCTTATTTTATACCCTATTATATTTATAATATTACTCTTTTTAATTAAACAGAAAAAATATTTCTATAGTTTCATAATATTGTAATGATAATCCTAACGAAAATTATAACTTATACGGTGTGTACTGAGGGGCTTCAGTATACAGAATTCTTATTAACATCATCTTAAAACGCGAACAGAATTCTATAGGTATCAAGTAGTTTTTGTGCCAGTTTTATTAATCGGTGACCCGTTAAGTTAGGCCATTGTTCACCGAGGCTCCGTTCAGTAATTAGCGGGATTGTTCCTTTCTGTTTCTGCGAGAATGGCAAAGACATCTACAAGATTACAGCCACAGTCCTAAATCGTAAAGATGAAAAGCTTCAACAAAGTTTTTTAGGTCAGTCATTGTAAAGGATTTTTTCATTGTACATGAAATAGTTGTCATTTAAAAATGCTGTTATAAATAAAATTGATGTTTTCCGTTAATTTAAATTTAAAATATTCTAGCGCCACAGGCATATCCGGTTCATGGCGCCATATACCATTGAATCGGAGTTGAGAAGAACAATAGAGAAAGAATCAGAATAAAATTGAAGAGATAAGACCTAAATTAATATCAACCATTTTCCATGGTTTGGCATTATATAAAATTTTTCTCCTTTGAAATATATATTTTGTCTCTGACCAATTTATTATTCTTGTATGGTCTCAGCCTCTATAGGATCATGATAATCAAACAACAAAAATAACATTAGCTCGCTCACTATTAAACGATTATTATTAGGCCATTATAAATAACATAGTAGCATAGTGAAATAGCCGTGACATTCTTATGGGATGCATCAGTCGAAGTCGGCCGTGGGCGCTCTCTTCCAGTCGTCCACACAGTACTTTCTCGTCCGTAGAAAGTGAATCGGTGTTGCCAGGCGCGGCGGTAAAGGCGAAATTTGATAAAGAACTATTCGTTTGGTCGCACCTGAATTATCGCCTTATTTGACGGCACGGTGAAACTTTAACTTTTAAAAATTTTCAATTAAATATTGATTGATACTTCTTTCACTCGCTCTGTTTTTGAGAGAAAACACGACCTAGACTATTAAAATGTTCCGAATATAAGAAAAAGAATAAAACCAATTATTATTCAATAAAAGAAATTTACATAATATCAACCAATGCCTATAAATTAGGAACATTTAAAATTCAAATTGAAAATTCAACGAAAGCGGAGTATATTAGTTTTATAATTTTTAAAACGGCACATTTTGACGGAAGGTACTGGGCTAGTGAATTTTGGATGCGAATGGAATCGGCTTATGTATCGCTATAAATATTAATATGGTATAATAAGGGAATAGCTATTTCGGTTAATTAGCAAGCGATTGTTGGAAGAAAGTGTTCCGTGCTTCGTTACGACCGCAATGAACACGAGATTCTCGCACCAGTGAGCATAGTTACATAGCATGATGCCCAGGTTGCGAGTACGCCGCGCGACGCATGTTTTTTCTTTTTTCTCTTTTTTATTTTACGGCCAACAATGACGTACCGTACGGCCGCACTCAGAGACGTAAATTATTATTGAATTCAAACGTTTGCGACGTTTAAATGAGGCAGGCAAGGCAAGAGTGAATAGGCTTTTTGCAGATTTAGTTCGTGTACCATATAAGACAAAGTCCCTATTAAAAATCATGTATGGTTTAAACTAAATACTAAGTTGAAACATACATAACTTTTAATAACGTCTTATGGATATGTTTTCAATACTTTAAAAACGAAATTTTAATTTTAAAATTTATTTATATAAGACGGTTGCAAACAAGCTGGCGTTCTCCTGATAATAACCGACGCCCATGGACTTTTGCAGTACCGTAGGGTTGTAGATGCGTTTTCACGTTTTAATAAAGTGGGCTCCTAATACCTCACTCACGAGACGAAACGCAGAAAGAACTATAACACTTCCACTTCACGTCGGTCTTCTGTGAAGTCGTGGTGCTTCCCTGGACGGAGTTGCCCATTCGTGCAACAGCGTGGCCCTACCACAGTAAATTTAGTTCTATAATACGTGAAGCATATTTGGTTTGATGAATGTTGAGTTGAATTTGGTTAAATATGCGTTAGTGCGTAACAAACATAATTTTGCAATTTAATTCTGCAATTTTTTAAGGTGCGAAAAAGTAGGTAGCCAATGTCGAAATGGAGAAAACTACGAGGAATTATTTATCGTTTTATTTAGAAAAGTCTTATGTATAACCTGTAACTGTAATAAGGTGTAATTTAATGTGGTAATTAGAGAGCGTAACACATTGCAACTAACCTCGGTTGGTATCACAAAAATGCTTACTACCTACTACCCCTTACTATTCATTATCCTATAATGATCTTTTTAAGCGGAAATAATTTATGTAGCTGATTTTATCCAATTACTAGTACGAGAGAAAAATAAAAGTAGGTGATTTTTTTGCCTTTAATCTTTGCTTATCAAAACATTTTTCCTTTATTTAATTTATAATTTTATATCTACTTACGTGTATGAAAACATAATATTACTTAAGTACGCAAGATGCATCTGAAACTAAATTTGAAATATTGTGTCTGTAAATGTCTGTAAATGACCAGTAAACCGTGAAATTTAACAAATCCTCGATAATAACATTCGAAATCTAAAACAATGGCGACCAGAACTACAAAACTCAAAGAAAACAGAACAATTATGAATAAATTTACAGCAATCTTAAACTTTTCTGAAACCTACAGGGATCTATCGATCTGAGGCTATTGAAAACTTACAATAATCTTAGGTAAATAAACAATAACTAATGCGCGCTCTGAATTGAAAAGCCAGACTCGACTTTTGATCTATCAGGGCCTTCAAAACGGGCGGCGTAAAGGAGAATTGTTCGTAGTTATTCTTACTTAATTGGGTCAATTAGAAATCCATTATCTTAAAGCTTGGTGACTCAATTGTAATCCCACAGGTGTTTCAGACTTTCAAGGGTCGCTAGATGTGAAGTACACCTTAGATTGCCATTTTCTCCCATATAAAAGTTAGAACGTTATTTTATAAACACTGTTACTTCATTAATTCTGACGTATTAGGGCCACGCAGCAGTCTTCGCTTGCACGAATGAGCAGGCTCGTCCGTATACGTACCACGACCTCTCAGAAGACCGGTGTGTGGAAGTGTTATGATTTTGCGTTTCGCCTGGGGAGTGAGGTAGCCGGGGCTCGCCTTATTAAAAGGTGGCAAAGCATCTGCAACCCTACGGTATTGCAAAACTCAATAGGCGGCGGTTATCTAAGTGACATCCCCTTGGCATCTTCTCACAAAAAAAGGTAATTTACTCAAACTCAACTCAAATTAATTTTAATGTTTCAGTTGTGAAAAAGCGCGGGCGCGCGAAAATGGCGGCTACGAAATATTGTCATCCATTCCTTAACGGCCTGAAGCCAATGCCGGAGGGTCACGATGAAGAAATCCAACAGGTCAAGGAGTGGTAAGCATTGTTTTTTATATTCATCAATAACAGGTTAATGATTTTCTTACCGTTTATTCTTATCGATACTTTGAATTTATGATTCTGTGGTATTGTATTTATAATTCTATAAAAAATATTTTAATTCTTGTTTATTGGAATTCTTAAAATCAAAAGTATACGTTCAACAGGGTGCCTTTTCTAAAGGTACCCAAATTCACACAGAAGGTTCAAACTCAGTAGTATAATCATTTATTAAAAATAAACTTTTTTTAAAGAAAATTTCCATTCCATTCCCTAAAAAAACAGAACTTGTTGACAATGCGGTGTCGTATACATTTGAAACGAACATGTGTGCATGTTAGTTATGAATGATCGAGTGTAAAATAAATGAGTTGCCTAAAATCACGCACTTTTTGAGGTAAGTTCAAATGAACGTAATTAATTACTTACGAGTGATTTTAATTTCATTATTTTCTATAATTCATTATTTATGTTTAGAATTTAATTAAAAAAAAAATGGATATACTTAGAAAAACCTCCGTGTATAATTCAAGTTTCGGTTAATATTTTATTTTAACTACACACGTTTTGAATACATGCGAGATTGATAGAGAACGGGTATAATTAGAAGTAGGTGCAATAGATTAAGCATAGCAAGGAATTATTTAAACTGATTGCTGATTGATCGAGACTTTTCCATCTTTTTAGTTAATCCTAGCATTGGTAATGGAACAAGTGATAATAATAGACTCCTCATGAATAATTCAATTGATAATATACTCATTTTACGCAGGATTATAAGTTATTGCGTTAACTTTAAATATCGACATAACATTTATGTGCGAACGGTCGTTAATGGTTAACCTTCGAGTTCAATGAAAACCTACGATAGAATTGCCGTGCTAAGTAATTACTTTGTACTTACATTGAAATCAAGATTTGAACGCGACCAAGGCTTAATTAGTTATCACGTACGTACTTTTATTCTATACAAATAAAGGCATTGCGATATCTATAAACCGGCTTATTCTAAGCGACTGTGTTAATTCAATATGTTTACTCATTCAAATAAATGATTTGCCTGACAAGATGGCGTCGAAAGATGTACGTAATTCTCGTACACGAGCGCACGTGTACTGCGGGGCCTGGTTGGAATTCCGTCGCGTCACTTTCCCCGTATAGAGCGTGAAACCGCGGGTTCCGATATTACACAATAAAGCGCCGTCAGCAGAATTCAAACAGAGGTATCGAAGCGATATCCTGGAAGTAAAAGGATTTTTAAATTTACTCGCATACTCCACATATTCAAAACCTTAACGATTTTATGGCGCGAATATTGGTTAAGAGGTCTTATTATAAAAAACACTCCAGGTGAAAGAAATGTTATTGTTAAAGTATATATATTGGTACTTTATTCAATTCATCAATTGGGCCACGCAACAGTCTTCGCTGTTGCACAAATGGGCAGGTCCATCCAGGGAAGTACCACGATTACAAAGAAGTCAACGGCATCTGCAACGGTAACACCCGTAGGGTTGCAGATGCGTTGCCACCTTGCAAAATGATACCAGCTCTTACAAGTTAATGAACGCCCTTATGATACCTCTTTTATTTAACGAGGTGTTTGTTACAGGATGAAGAGTCAACCTCATCTGCCGTACATATCCGATGACTATGTTATACTTTTCCTCCACTCCAACTACTTCAAAGTGAAAGAGACGAAAGACACCATTGAATGCTACTTCACACTGCGTAATAATACACCCGACCTATTCAGCAACCGCGATCCGTTGTCACCCAGGAACAAGGCCGTTTTGGATGTAACGTGAGTATTTTTTTAAAGTTCGGTACATAGTCTGTTATAGTGTCGTTTACTAAGGTTGTAAACCTGATTCAGAACATAAACGGTTCAAATATTCACCTAAACTTATTTAACTAATAGCTACATATGTATACATAGTTGAACAGTTAATGTAAATGAACCAGAAAGAACTTGTCAGTGTGTAGGATTGGTTGTGATGGTGCTTTTTACATATTTCTTGATATAAATTGCATTACTGCCGATCCAAAATGTGCTGACATGAACGGTAGAGAACCACAGCTTAACTAAGGTTAAGTGTAAGTTAAAGTATTATTAAATTTCATAGCTCCACTCTGATGATTATTGCTGTCATTAATTTTTAATTGGCTTCCGCTTCAGGCATATGGTGGCTCTCCCGAAGCTGACAGAAGAGGGCTACCACGTACTCCTATACCGGCTCTCCGACCTGGACTACAGCAAACTGAATTTCGCGGACGCAGTGCGTGTGTTCTGCATGTTCAACGACGTCAAGCTCTCTGAGGACCGGCTGTCTGAAGGCTATATTGTGATCTTCGACATGAAAGGATGCAGCCTCGGCCACCTCACTAGGGTCACGCTGCCCGCTTTGAGGGCCTTCATGCATTACATTCAAGTATGTATATATGTTCTACCCAACGATATTTTATGACTATTCAGTTCAACTAAATTTGCAAACACCTACGTCCGACATCTCTATACAAGTTGACATTAAATGGATCGCACGCCGTAATACGAGGAAAATTCCACATAAAAAACATATCATGACATCAGTGTTGAGCACCATAAAAATATCAGAAAAGCCGGTTTTTTTTACGTCATAATATTTTTTGTATATCAGTTTATATTATAGCAGCGGTATAGTGTTACAAATCTATTTTTATTTACTCAAAAACATACCATGATAATTTCTTGTGTTTACGCGATTGTAAATTATAACTATTTTTACGGATCTTTTGCTTTTTTTGTAATTTCAATTCCCGAGGTTTCAAACTCTTTACAGCGTTTGTCCTCTCGTCATAAAAATAGTTCAATTATAAAAAACACAAGGTCTTAAATCGAGTAAATGCAAGTTATTAAACTTGGAATTTCAGAATGCGCATCCTTGTCGCCTCAAGAAGATCCACGTGGTGCACACTGTATCCTTCATCAATCAGGTGATGTGTCTCGTCAAACCCTTGATTCATTCCAATCTTCTGAACCTTCTCAACTTTTCTTCGGATGGACCTGACTCCGTCGTCGACAAAGAACTATTGCCAGAGGATTACGGTGGCCCTGCCCCGTCCGTAAAACAATTGCATGACGAGCAGAGAAGAAACATGGAGGAGAACTATAGAGAATGGTTGATAGAGTCGGAGATATTCAAAGTGGACGAGAAGAAGAGAGTCAAGAAGCCGAGTAAGGGGATGTTTGCTAGCTTTACAAGCAGTTTTAAAAGTCTTGATATTGACTGATTACTAATGTAACGAAAGCAATGCTACACGTTAAAGGCATTATTCTTCTGTGTTGTTAAAATTATACGACTGAATCTATGGTCTAATACTATAGCCGATTTACGCTTGGTTTCTTAACTTCAGACTTAGGCCTTTGTAATTTTGAACGTTCCTTAAGCATCTGTGCAATAAACGGTTTAGTTGTTTAGATAATTTCGGTAAAACCTCATAGGATATACAGTTATACGAATATATTTAGATGTTATGACTACTAATAGGTTTCAGTAATCTTATTCAATACGTATTATTTTATAATTAATGACTTTTTTACATTGTGCTGCATAAATATATAATAGTTATGTTTTACGTGGTCTTATGAAAAATTATAAGAAGGAAGATAAAGGGCGAAGATAAATCCTATCACAATTGTCTGATTCGATAAACTCGGAGATGGCTTGACTTGATTGATATTCAGTTAGATTATTCTATTACTACGGCCGGTCCATTTACGGGAAATAGCAATATCTTTTAACGGTGCACAGCAAATTTCCTCGAAATTTTTTTCTGCCGATGCGCTTCTGCTAAGAAAATTTAAAAACCTGTCCTCAGAATTATTCCCTAACCGCTCTTGGAAGAAGAACAAACATATATATTATTTTAGAATCACCTTGTTTGTTTGTAATTTTTTGTTGTTTAGTCATTATTATAAGGTCTAAGCAATGTTTTCGTTTTAACAACGTTTGCTCAATTATTTTTTTTTAAAAAAGTACTATGTAACAAATATAAATAACTAATGTGTAGTTATAATAATGTAAATAATGTTTTATCTGTATATAAGTGAAGCCGATTTTTTATTGTACCATAATAGGTAAATTGAATTTATTCTTGAAACTATTCTATTTATTGAAAAAAAAGTTTCATACTATTTCTTTCAAATAATGCAAAAAAATTAAGCAAAAATGTGGAATTTTCCCGTAAAACTGTTTAAAACATATAAATGAAGCCAATTTTTGTATATAATAGTAAAAACTAAAACAAAATTAGATTGGGCCAATTTTATACGAAATCAAAAAATCTTATTTGGTGTGGTTTATGCCTACATGAGGTACATAGACGACTTACAGCCGTTATAGAAATCAAGTTTATATATGTGTATATCTAAATACCTATAATAATATGGAAGCTGTTATAAATAAAAAAAAAAATTCTGTAAAACTGTAATCCTAGTTAACTAAGACGAGAGATAAGGGTTGAAAAGAATCCTAATTAATAGTTAGTAATAATTTTGAAAGTTTTCATATTTTTTTTAAAGATTTCTACGTTTTTAAAAGAACTCGTGTATGTTTTGACCTATATATATACAGTTTGCTCAATCTGAACAATCCAGGTTTTGTACATGAAAGTTGTATATAAATATTTTGCGTTTTTTATTTCTTTTTTGATTATGCTGTATAAATTATTGTACCCATTACTTCTACATTAAGTTTTAATTTTTGTTTGTTTTATTTTTGGTGTGCAATAAAGTATATTCATTCATTCATTCATTCAAATTATTATTAAACTATCAAAATTTTATTAATTATAGATATGGTATTAAATACTTGGTGCTGGTTATTATTGTTAACATTTATTCTAAATTAAATACTTTAATAAAACATGTATAAGCATAATATGCAAATGCAATGGACCAAATTGTTATTTTCTAATGTTTTATAATCAAGTATATTGTAAATAGTCAAATAAATTTTATTCTGTTAATTTTTTTGTATTATTTCAAGGCGATGGTCACTTAGCGGTTAGCACCTGATTTGGTATAACCTGATGTGGTAGACCGTTGTCCAAGGATATATCCATAACCCAGAGATTTTGGGCGTGGTGAGGTGAAGTATACGCGAGACTACTTTTACTTCTCACTGATCCTCTGTGTTTCTGTTTACTTTCTCGGCAAAACTGTCTTATTTGCTCAAATACGGAGCATATATAGAATCTCCCACTATATAATGCAAGGTGTCATGTGCCCAGTCGCTTCTCCATCACGGGCACCATGCAGTTTACAAATCTGTGATATACCCGGTACATACAGATTTTTGCATGCTAACTATATTAAAGACTTAGATTTATCGCTGCTGCAATTCCGCCTTAGGCCGTATCGGGGCCCTAGGGTACACAAAGGGATGGAAAGTAATAAAAGTGAATGACACAAACGTTTTCCTGCAATTATCTTGCGATATTTACTTATTCCATAAACTTCTGTCGGAATATATGTACCAAAAATAGATAAAATTTCTATAGTTTAAGCGAAAGCTATGCGGGGCCCTCGTGACGACACCTGGCACCGGCCTCTTGTGCCCTTATGGTAAGACGGTACTGAAAAAGAGGGCAGGTTCTTTTCTCGCTCAAAGCATAACTATTCAGCATGGAAATGCAGCTGGCGTAAGGAACATGTAATTTAGTAATTATTAAAATATGCGTGTTTAGATACAGAATATTCGATTTGAAATCTTTGGAGAAAGTAGGAGTTTTTGCCCCAACGATCGAGAACGAGGTAACTCAAGCGATTGTATTATATACAGTATATCTGACGAATGAATGAAAAATAATATTTGGATATCAATGTCAATAGATAGCATACGGGCAGTCAATCACTGGCAGCTATATTTAATTAGTTATGAGTAACAAACTTGTCCCTGCTTTACTTCTTCTTTATTAAATAATGGTGATGTAGCGTACGGACGCTTCATGTGCTGTGTACTGAATTTGTATTTGATAAAATGGAAAGATTATATGAAATTAACAGTTGTAGCCGAATCTGGATTTTTCTTTATCTAAATCTGCCAATTGTCCTGTCAGAAGATTAATTAAGTTCTGATCACATTCTCAGAAAACCTAGAGATGGGAACTGCCAACAGCAGTGCTGCAGAATAACTCTAACGGGAAAGTATATCTTCGTGTAATATTATTAATTAAAACCTAAAGAAATTGCTCTAACAGTTCTATAATATTGCTGTAACTGTTTGTAAATTTGCCTTAATATACAAGGAATTCATGTAAATAAATGCAAACATGTCATTACTATGGTTATGTATGTAACTAATCACCATTTTATTAAAAATAAAAAAAAATGTTAATTTAGAAAACGATATTACGGACAGTTGTTGTTTAATTTGTAGTAGAGATCATGTTACAAAATAATCAGTTAAATTGGATGGGAAGGAGTAATTTAACTCTGGGAATATTATTTTCTGACGGATCTATTGCCAGTGTTGCATTGTGCGGTCCATTATGAAATTTTGTTGCTGTATACCTTTTGAGAATTGTTTCGTATCCATTAAAAATTATGTGACAACAAGTAAGTGGCAAACAGACACACCCTGTCAGCTTTCAGATCGTGTGAATGAAACAGACGTGAGAACTATTGCTAAGAGTGTGCAGACTGATGTTGTAGTTGACACATTGGAAAAAAGTTCTTATTGTCCAACTACTGTTGAAAAGTGGTTAGTAACGACTGTGGAGGGCTATGCGACTATAATTAAATTAAAATCTGATAATTTAGACGTAGATAATGGCAGCTTTGCAGAGGTTGAAGACACTGTAGCGTCTGTTAACGGAGACTGGGTGAGATTAATAAATTACCGCATTACGAAAAATACTAATATAGATAATACAGGTCTACAATTATGAGGTGGTTTAATTCTTATAAAAAAAAGAATATTCGATTGTAGCTCTCAAACTGTTACGTACATATGCCAGCGGCGTATTAAACTTAGAACGGACAAGATTTTGGCAAGCGACTTAAGCTGTATCTTAATTCCGTCTAGACATTTTTAGTGCGACGATTATATATTAGAAAAAAGGTTTCGCGTCGCGAAGAATGTACATTGTCTGTAATATGGTTACACGCCAGTCACATAGTCATTTTGTTCATTAATTTTTTGATGCAGGATCAAAAGTTTATGATCAAATTAAAAGTAATACCAAACCATGGAGTTAGCTTTAACTATACGTTCTAATTCTACGACATCCTTTAGCTTATGCTATATTATGCCATTGATTCAATTCGGATTCTTAATATCTATTACCATAAAATACGCATACCTAATTAAAGCCTGTCGCAAAACTTCTTCTTTGTCAAAAGCATCATAAAAATGCGTACCTTTTTCCTATATTATTTTGAGGCTATTGATTAGGTAAGGTTGATATGATTTTTACGGGTCTCGTTTAAACATTTTTCAAACATTTTTTTTGGGGTAGAGCCTCGTAGCAGCTTTTGAAACTGCACGAGTAAGTCGGTTCCATTGGAAAAGAAACCCTTAAACTATTTATTTTTTATTTTTTTGAAACGTTTTATTAATTTATTAACGTACAAACATATTAATTTTTATGTAAAATTTTGACGTTTCACAAGAACGCGCAAGCGTCTATTCTATGTGAATAAATATATTTAGAATTTGAATTTCATCAAATTAAAATATTTCTCGTAGTAGGAAAAAATTGTAATAGCATATCGATTTGATGATTGCAAACAATGATTAATTAGTGCACAGGTTTTATCTGAAACAATCACGAGCACTGATATGTGCCGCTCTCGTTCGCGGAGGGCCACTCGAAGGGGGCCATTAATTAGAAAGAGTCCAAGTGGCGCTGTCATTGGGGTGACGGTGTGTGCGTCGAGTCGACGGTCCATTGAGAGGTGTAGGGAGCCGGCGCGGGGAGTGACGTCACGCGCGCCTCGCGCACGCGCCCGGCTATCGAGCGGCATGCGCTCGTAGCAGCCGCCCGAACGCTCCGCCATACACACATTTTTATTTTCCCCTCGAGCCGCCCGAGCACCGTCGCATCCAGGAAACGGGACTAGCGCCCGCTCGCCAGGAACAGCGGCCGTGAGAGGGCGCGTCGCCATCGACGCCAAGCGGCACCAAGATGGCCGGACCGGCCCACCGCGCCTGCAAGCGGACCGAACGCCCCTGCGTTGTGTGCGTTATATAAATGTTACGCAAGCCGTGGACGGTGGTGCCGGAAGGTGTCTCTGGGGCGAGCCAGCCCTGTCCCGTGCGGCCGTGGGGCGGATGTAACGCGCCGGACTAGCGTGAGTACACTGCCCTGGCGATGCGTAAAACTAATTAGTGCCCTAGACAAAACAACGCATCGGCACCGGCTCGTGTCGAGGCACGTATCGATCGCTATCGCAGCGGGAGTGCACGGGCCCGCTAATGTGGCCGTAACGGCGGCTCTCGTCTGGAAACATGGCGGTAATGGTTTCGCGCCTGCCGCGATCGCTACAGTCTTTTTGGCTCGTTCTATTTCATGGCTTTCTATTAGAATTTGCCATGTCGATGGCAATTAAATGAACGGACGTTAGAATGAACCACTCAGTATGACCCTTATTCGTCATGAAACAACAATAAGCGGTTATTGATTTTATTTTTCCGTACAAGTCAAGAGATTCTGATAGAAGAATAGCTTATTTTGTGATCTAGTATGAGTTGTAACATCAATGGAACTGTTTATCTGGTGGTGTTAAATTGAACATAGTTTCTGTAATCACAAACTTTTTTTTTAGTTTCGGACATTTTCCTGCAGTGAAGTTATAGCTAAATTTCTAAGAATCGTTATGAAAATCGCATCAAACTAAGATATATGTGCGATTGTTTCAATTAATATTTCAGGTCCTGAAAATCAACGTGTACGTATACTTTACAATGTTGTTAAGATTACATTATCACCTTTACAATGAATTACGATATAAATATGTAACTAATAAATTACAACTGTACCTATATTAATTGCGTTTTAACAATACTATTTGAACAAATATTAGTATGTCTTTAGTGCTATTTATAAAAAAATCCAGGAAATGTATTAAGTAAATTTAAGCTAAAAACAATGAAAAAGTATTATGTGAAGGTATACATAGGCTTTTGTATATATAGGTATATATAGGCTTTTGTAAATATATATGTAATTCTCTCCATGTGTAGTTTTATAATGGCCGTCGGCATAAAGTTTTTGAATTTCATGGACATATGAAAGGTTTTGTTTCAATTATAACATAAAACTCGTAGGATATGGCGAAATAAAGATAACTTAATAAAGGCCAGGCTTTATGCCAGTTTTACCCAAAAAGATGTGTACAATTCGAGTTAGCACACAGAAAACATATTTATTGAACAATACCGACCAAATTACAAGAGTAGGAGCGCTATCCAAATAAATTCGGTCATTGTACTTGGCTTGGATATCAAGTTATTGTAATATTCAGTAGGCACCAGGGGGAACACGCGATCCGCTGCCAAAATGCCCCCGTGTTACCGAGCTTTCTAAATAAAATCCCTCTTCCGAGCACAGTCCGAGTGGTGTATAAAATTCTCATTTTAATTTAGCCGGTTAATAATTTAATATAATCCGGCTGAATGAAAAGAGGATTACCAAAATATTAAGATTAAAATTTTGAAGCTTTGTTTAAAAGCTTTTTTTTGGTAACAAATTTTTTTACAGATATTTCTACGCAAATTAAGATTATTCATAAATGGATTTTTATTTTATCTGCCTTTTCATTAAAAAATAATGTATGCATTTGTATTGGAAGTATCGTAGTTTTTTATTCTTTATGTTTAATTTCGTTTTAAGTTAAACACTACGTCCGATACGGTATTGCGAAAGGGGGTATGAAGCTTTACAAACTAGTCTGCTTAATTATGGTCGTGCCTGACTGTACACACGTACTGTGTGAATAAAGTTTTCAATGACAAGTCGAACAAATGAAGCAGGCCGTAACTTGGGTCATGAAATGTGGCTTTAGTTACATTGTATAAATAGAGTTAATTTTCGTCTGATACTTATCAGAATATTTATGTGCTGTAGATCAGTCTTTGTATTCTCGTGTTGCACCGAAGAAAAACCATTACCGATATGATTATGAAAGCTACGTACCTATTGTAATCCGTCTAGGATGAAATCGGTCAACGGGAGGAAATTGCCGTCATAACTGCGATGAATATTACGGTACACCACTATGTACTGGTGTAGAGTACCAGCTAGGGCCATTAGCAATCGGGACGTATTTTTCTCGATCATCGCTTTCATCGCGCTTTTTGACGTCAGAATAATGATTGATCGGCACCCGGGTCGGGTAAATACGCGTTAGCAATCCACGACGTCGCTTCGATCGCACCATCGGAATTCAAACCTTCGTCATCCATGTAACGACATTCCGTCTAGACGATGAATTCGCGGTGAGTTCAGGTAAAGTAATCCTGCGAAAATATTCTCAAGCGATGTCGAAAATGAGAGAGTACGTCGTTAATCTCGAAGCTTCGAGAATTTTAAGGCACTTGCCGGTACCGTTTAATTTGACGTATGAAAAAGTAAACTTAATGGAGCGCGATGGAATTTGACGTGATATACCCGACTCAGAGTCGGATCCTCCTCGTTGCCCCCTAGTTTTTACATTGGGGTAGTGTATACGGTTGTAATACTAGTTGATAGATTAAAAATAAAAATATTATACAAAAATATGACATTAATTAAAATCTTGTTTGTTCAGAAATATAGAAAATATTAATATATGTATATCTTACCTTCAAGCTAGTTAATACTCGAAGTGGAGACAAAGCCCTACAACAAACGGAGCAAGTCATGGTCGTTACGTTAAAGGGTTTTAAAACGGAAGTAAAAAAACTTCGTAAAGAGTCAAGTTTAAAAAGGTTCGTGTACAAAATTATTGGTAGTTTCAATCTCAATTGATTTGACTATTTGCAGCATGAATTGCGTTGGATATTTCATTTGTTTTATTCATCCCATGGTTTACGAGTAATGGGCTTTAACTGAATAAATCAGACTTAACTCTTTTTCCAGCTCTTTCGAACACAATTATTATATTCGAATAAAAGAGCAATCGATGTCATATTACATATCAGACAATGCCAAAATTGCAATCGGCAGTTTCGTATTCGAAATAAAATTAATCACTTCCATAATATTGGTGCTCCTCTATTTCAAATAAGTTTAAGTACCCTTACGCTTACGCTGGAAAGGTTTCTTTAGTTTTAAATTGGAACTTTACAACTTTTTTTTACTGAGCCTTAATCAAGTGCGCAGTCGCCTGTGTAGTTTTGAGCAGTTGACGACGCTTTTCTCATTCACGAGGCGTACCTAATTAGGTCGATTCTTTTTCTTATCTTCTTTTTGTGTGCACTGCCTTTGAAACGCAACTTGAATCCAAATGCTTATATTCCAAAGAAGGAGCTTAAGCATCCCCATCCCTAATTATGATGCATGTTCTCATATTGGTAATGAAATATGATTGACTTTATGAATATATCCGAAAATTTCCATTTTTTTGTGAGTCTAAACCACACTCGAATCAGTTTGAATATGCACGAAAAAAATTATCATAATCGGTCCAGTCGTATAGGAGTTCACTGACATACATACGCACAGAAGAATTATATATATAAAGATATATGCCCTTTCCAAATCCTTCATCTTTTCAATTATATGATGCTAGCGCAAACAATTTCGTTTCATTTTTCGTGGGTCTGTGACATATTTTTCTAGTTTCTTACAAAAAAACTCTGAGTTGTGTTTTCACTACACACTGTTTCACCATTACCACTTCTATTCACGCCAACAAAAACTCTTTTAGTTGTCGTAATTTTGGACTGATATTTTAACATGTATGTTTTTAAAGTCTTATGGGTACTTTTTTTTATTCACTCGACCCTTTCTTAAACACCCACTGGGATACGCGATTTTCATTTGTAAGTTGAATTATAAAAAAGTTTAATGAAAAAGAATGATGAAATCTACGAGAGAAGTGCTGCCGCCATGTTGAGCAAATTACTACTTTGCAGCTGTAACAAAAGTCTTAAGAATACTTTTAATTAATATTTATGTTTTTCTCATCATTATTAAATGTATGTAAAAACCGAGCAAAGCTCGGTCCTCCAGGTACTTTACACTTAACTAAAGTATGTATGTGCCAATTTGTTCGATAACTTTCTGCCATCTTGTAGGTAGGGACATGATCCCATTGCTTTAGAAATTCTGGGGCTTCTGATCAAAAAACCGCGACAACTGGTTTTGTCAGTGCTCCCGTGATGTTAACCTGACACTGCCTAAAGAATTCTGAAGAACCGAAACAAGAAATCTGAAGGTGCAAGGTCAGAACTATACGGCGGATGCATTAACATCTCCCAGTCAAACACTCTTAATTTTTGCTGAGTGGCTAAAGATGTGTGAGGTCAAGCGTTACCATGATGAAAAACCATACCCCTTCTATTGATTAATTTCGGCCGTTTTCTCTCAACTTCTTGCTTTAATCTCATTAGTTGTTCGCAGTAGAGTTCGGAATCAATGGTCCTGCCTGGCGGTAACAGCTCATAATGAATAATGCCCTTCCAATCCCACCATACACACAGCATTACCTTGTTGCCAGATAATCCGGGTTTTGCCAGAGTCTGTGAAGCCTGACCAGCCTTTGAACACGACCTTTATCGCATGTTTTTGTCACACGTGATCCACTTTTCATCACCAGTTATCAGGTTTTTCTAAAATGAATTTGTTTCATTACGTCGTAATAAAGAATCACAAATGAGTACACGGTTCATTAGGTTTCTTTCAGTGGGCTCATGAGGCACCCAAATATCGAGCTTTTTTGTGTACCCAGCTTTTTTCAAATGCGCCAAAACTGTTTAGTGGTCAATTCCCAGCTCTTCAGCTACATCGAAACTACTGATATACCGATATTCCTCCACTTTTTCAAAAATGGCATCCATTTTATCCGTAACAGGGCGCCCAGAGCGAGAGGCATCTTTGACATCAAAATTTCCGGATTGAAAACGTTTAAACCGAATTTGTGCTACTGTCACAGACACTGCACTAGGTCCATAAATATCAAAAACTTTTTTCGCGTCTTGCGTTGCATTTTTACCCTTTTGGTAGTAAAATTTCAAAATGTATCAAATTCTTCATTAGAATTACTCATTTAGTAAGAAAAACAAATGAAAATCACACATTTTCCTAATTTGAATTTGGAATTATCTTTTTTAAAACTTAAACTTTTTAATGATACCAAAATCAGCCATATTCAAATGGTATAGCTAAAGAGATTATATTATAAGTGCATACATACTATTTGCGAAAAGAGTTTTTCCCCGACCTAATATGTATTTTTTGATGATCAAATTGTTTCTTGATACCTTCATACAACAATATTCGACTGTACAACGTGTTGCTATAATTAATTAGTAAAATAAATAATATTGGTTAAATAAATAAATTTAATTTGTATATCATATTTACTAGTTTATTCTATGTAACGAACATAAGCGTCATCAGGTTAAAACAGACTTGTTTGAAGAAACACATTACATTCGAATGGGAAAGCTTAGCAAAGATGAGAGATGTTTTGAACTTCACGAATTCATACGTACAGTTCATAACATCACCAGCATAAACAAGCAAAAACAGAAAATTCACATTTAAAAATACGAAGTCTAGTGGTAGTTTGTGACTAACTTAGACTAACACTACAATTATAAAAGAGAAATATTGGTTTCTTAACAATTCATTTTAAAGAAAAGTAACCTACACTATTTCAGTGTCGCTTATTACGATCTAAGTTTTATAATCTTAAGAGGATTCAAAAGGAGTAAAGTTAAGTGAGTTAAACAAGATACCTCTTTAAAAAATATACAATTTCATTCTTCACCGCTTGAGTTCGCAGGTAGATATTAGATATTTGTTGCATTCAGCATGAAGAGTGTTGATTACGAATATTATTTAAAAAATTCAAAAAGTCGTGTATAACGTATTGTAGGCAAACTATGCCATCGTTTTGAATTGTTCTATTTCCATAACATAAGCCTAACCATTATGCAAAACGGCGTCAGTTAAGTGAAGCGCAGGTGGGATACCGTTTTGTGTCATTTTACATTCAGGATTTTAAGCTTCTCTTGTCACTTTTTATTTGTATTTTTAAGAATTAAAAAAATAAAGAGAGAAGAGAGAATCTAAACACTTATTAGTACTAATGTTATTCTTTACTTTAATAATCATACTCTGCGCTTTGCTTCTTTGAAATATATCGTAATCTGCTTTAAATGGAGTACTTTACGACAAGTGATTGTAGGAAGTAACGAAATGTAAAACAAATATATAAAGTTCACCGAACAAACAATTACGGGATAAGTCCCAATTTAATGTAAACGGAAAGTGTTAATAAGGCTATTCAGTGAATTATTTGGCGGCAACACTGCTATTACATGAACATTTGAGACCAAAGAGATTTTATGTAATAGGCACGTAATACACCATCATCATGTCACAGTAACAGTAAACTATCGTTTATACTAACGTACACAAATATAGAGCGAGACAGGCATATGACATTAAACCTAAAGCGAACACATACAACCCCTTATTAGAAAGGGGTGAGTAACTGTATGAATGGTACGTGACTAAGTAAATGTCAGTTAAATACTCCCTTTCATGCCCCTAAAACATATCTGGAACAACGTATGTATAATGGTAAAACATCTTAGGATATTGATATTTGTGATTTGTGACTAAATCCGCCGTTCAGAGCTGTAACAGGCTCCATTGCTTCTTGGCACGTGAACCGACTCGTGTTTATTAGGGCAATGTGCCCATACTTTATCGAGCTGGCTCCTACCAACTTAAGTCGGTCATAAAAATATCCGCAATGACCGTTTCACAATACCTTATTAAAGTTTGTCCTTTTTACACGAATTCGTGTAACGTTTTAACTCTGGCAATGTGATTTAAACAAAAGATAATGTAACCCCGTAGGATAGGATCAAATTATTGAGAACTTAATTCATTATTGAAAATCTTGAAGGTAGCCTGGATGAATTAAGTAAATAGGTGGTCAAACACTTCACTCTTTCTTTTAACCATGCACTCTGTACAGTGATTGACACGTCGGGAATTAAAACACAATTAATCGGAATGATATATAGTAATCGTAATAAAATTCAAAAAAACATGTAAAAATTAATTATTAGTGTGTGATAGTCGTGGATTTTCCCGTTGTTAAAATGAAAAACAGTTTTAAATTCTATCTGTTATATTTTATTAAATTATGAGAATTATCTTTTATTTTCATTAACGTTTAGTCACAACTACAACTATAGAGAAAGATGTGCTTTGTTATTTCATAATTACAGGATAATTTCTAAAATTTTAAAATTAAACTCACACGCATAATTGGAAATAAGTTGCGTTAGTTAGTTATTACATTTTGCTGTATTGCAATCAGAAAATAGCTTTGGAAAATACGTGGCGATCTCGTCCAGAAAAATGCGTCGCAAGTCGTAGACAAAAAATAAGTCTCATAAAGTCTCAGTTCGAAATTCGTTTATTAAAGCATCACGAAACCGATTTTGAAGTAGCAACGGTGCCAAGTGTTGTATGAGTTCGCAAACTTTGATATTGGAGCGAGAAAAATTTTGTTCCTCTGTATTTTTGATTAAAATTATTTTTACGCCACCGATTGGCGTAGATGGCCTGTGTAACAGATAGTATTCATTCGATCCTCACTACTAAAAATGTATACATTATATAATATATAAAAGTATGTATTCACTGTATGAATTATATAATATGAGATAGTGGAATCACAACCCTAACTTCCATAAGCGGGTACAAACCTTTTCAAAAATATTTAAAAAAGTCTGTATTCAGGCAAAATCTATTTATATAAGAAATTGAATACTAAATTCAAACAATAAAATTAAACCCACAAAAGACATCATTACCCGTATATCTGGAAGACCCAAGATATTCAGGGAACATAATGAAATTGCAAATAGTTACAATTTTTTTTTTTCAGCAATTGCAGTTAATATCAGATGCACATTAAAATTCTCCATAGATGCAATTAATGTATTGAAAAATAATGTTACCTATTGTCGACACACATTTCAGTTTAATATCGTAAATACTTATGATCAGCACTACTATAGTCCCGGGCTCATAGAATACGTCTAAGTGTGGGATGGGATACCCATTCCTATCGTAAAAAGCGACTAATGCCCGGTTCCTATATTCAACGAACGGCCGTTAGTTATATAGCTTCGTAACTTTCATAACGACTTGTAAATTAAAGGAACGCTAGTAACTCACTTTCCGTATGTAATGCAATGGCTCGTAAGGAAAACGCCTCGTTTTGTTAATATAGGAACCCGGCGTACACGCCTTTTATCTACGAGTTATGAATTTTACGAAGCTATATAACTAACGGCCGTTGGTTGAATAAAGGAACCGGGCATAAAAGGGGACACAGATTGGCAGCAGCACGAAGTGGTCACATGCTCCTGCAAGAGGGCGAGGGAATCGAAGAAGGTTTATCCTTCTGTGTGAAGTGTGATTTCCATTTTCAAGGATGATTTGAGACATTGTTCCCGAATCCCGAATGATGAATATGGCTAAGCAGCCAGCAGCTGTGATTCATAAAATTTTATCAAAGAACACATTAGGAGAATTCAATACCTACACTGTAAGCTCTTTCTGCGTAGATTAGATCAAAATAAATGAATACATAAATCAGACGGTAGCTTAGGTAAACTAATATCTGGTCAGAAGGTAAACCCAATCCCGAACATAACATGCTATTTGTTCGAAGAAAATCTGGAAATATTATGTTCATTTGAGAAGGCAAAGGCCTATTACTTTTAGCTGTGTTGAGTAAGTATAGGATTTTATCCATATATATTCATCTGAGTACTACAACAAACTGGTATGAAGTGAGAGTATTATGCTTCTTACTTTCGCCTGGCGAAGGAGGTAACCGGGGCCCACTTTTTTAAAAGTCGCTAACGTATCTGGCACTATATCGGTAATGTAGATGTGTGGGTGGCGGTTACCACTTCACGTCGTATGAAACGCCCAAGGGATCTGGCGTTTCCATCTTGTCACACAAAAAAGTCTGGGGCGAAACACTTTAAACGGGTCACGAATAGCACATGGAATATGCATAGTTCATAATATGTTTTTCAGTCAAATTGCGACATATTGCCCGTATTGCTTTGCGGTCTGGTGGACTTGCCAAATCCGCCCAGTCGGCCGTCCGCCGCCGTGGTGTCTGGGATTTCGCGAAGGAGCGGAGGGTGGGCCGGTTGTGGGGGCGAAGTCGGGCGAATCGGGTCATCGCACTTTTTTCGTCTTACGGCTGCGAGAGACGCGTCGGCGTCGGCGGCACGGCCCGAGGAAGGCGTTGGCGGGAACGGCGCACGGTTTAAATCGAAACAGCGCATTCGCACACACAACGGTGGGAAATTCTCGGATGCCTTTTTTTCTCTCCGACCGGTTTTTGTTCGCTAAAAGCGCTGCGAGTGGAGTGTGTATGGAGGCCCCTTTTCCCCGCTCCGCGTTTAAAACGAACGCGCCGCTCTGTTCGCTCGTGACATATTTGACTGCTTTTTGTTATTGTAATCTATGCACATTTTGATAAGGGTCGGACGCGGCGCGATGTAAGCGTGTGGCACGGTTTTTGCAGTGAGCATTTTTCGAGAACTTATGATAGTTTTTTTGAAAAATGTAAAATATATTAAAACCACACTATTTTTTGCCTTAATCTAAACTATATTGAAGCATGAAAATGAGCGTTGGTAAATTCTTATCGCGTCTGTACAAGCTCTGTGGTTGGTTGAAAGTTCCAGCGTAGTTATTTGTATGTCTTAATTATCGAGTGGCAAAACGTGTCAGACAGAAAGGCGTCTGGGTATGGATTTGAATTTTGTCTAGACAGCTGAGTTACAATTCACCACGCACTTATATCCTACTCTCGGATACCAGTTGTCTACTTACGTTATATTATATTAAGATCGAATAGATGTTTAGTGTCGAAATGCTAATGGTTTTGCTGCGATTAAACCGTTCTATACAATATTAAAAGTGAAGTTTACTTTAAATTTCTTTAGACGACAGTTGAAGACCAAATTGACATGGTCAAATCTAACAAATATGAAAAAAGATTTAAGATAACTTGTGAGATTTCGTGGGACGGCAGAAAATTTTTCAGTTTTAACTCAAAAATATGACACTTACATTATGTAAATAGAAAAATTCAGTTTAATATTTTCTTCTTTTGTTTCTCTTAGTCTTTCTACGTAATAGTAATTTATAATTTGGCATTTTTGTTTAGTGTTAATTATGTAACTATGGTTTTATTGTTATACAGCGACACTTTTGTTTAGCAGGTTGTCATATAAGCTGTTACTTTCACTACTTTAAAGAATGTAATTCTTATCACGAACGATAATATTTATGACTCCGTGGCGCAGTTGCCAAAGGCTTCGGAGTCGGGACATGGGTTCGATTCCCACACGGGAAAACTATTTGTGTAATCCACAAATAGTTGTTTCGCAACCGGGTGTGAGTCCACGTGAAATTTATGTTTGTAAAACGTCCTTACAACACAGGGTAAAAGTTATCTTAAAGTAAGGGTAATGTTTTTTTAAAGAAAAAGAAAAAAAAAAAGATAAGAAATAATGGTCGTGTAACATTTAAACTGTGTGTTATATACGTTGGGGCCTTTTATGCAGACATTGCACGTGCCGTAGAATCTCATAACGTGAAATCTTTTACGTCGAAAATAAAAGATCTTCATTCCTTCATAAATTTGTTAGCTGAATTACTACCTGGGTATTATGAGATTTTCCTTTACGTATTACCACGTGTGAAATTTAATCGATAAAGTGGAAAAGCATCCAGTGCAACACTATGCGTACGTAAATATTGCGGAATGTAATACAAATATTTAGTTATTGATTTTTGGATTGATTAGGATTTTTTATTACTACAACGCGATACGTATCTATAGTTGAACTTTACACTGGTTTGTTGTAATAACCAGTTCTGTGTGTATGGTGTTTAGTGGCAGTGTTTAATATGTACTCCTTTTTTATAGTTGGATTGTTTACTGTTGGCCTATAAGAGGCCTTTACTGATCCACCGGGCCTAAGGTGGCCGGGCGCTGAGGGGGCCTAACCAGAATCTCGTTAAGCCGGAACTTCGTTAAGCGTAAACCTCGTAGATTTTGTGTACTCTAATAGTTAAGTGTATATTACACTTGTATGAGAGGAGGATAGGTGAGGTACAATAAGTCACTACAGTTAGTCTAAGCGAAGCTTAGTTGTTATGTAGGTCGGTGCAGTTGAGAACAATAATTTCAGTGGGGCACTATCCGTAGTTGAAAAATACAACGGGTGGTTTCCATTTTAGTTTTGATCTATTTTCTATTTAAAAGCGGTTGTGACGCAACGGTTTTATTATTATACGATCCGCCTCGTTTAATTTTTGGATGGAAATTTTTTTAAATGATATTCAGCTTGTATTACTTGTTGACTTAGTTTCGTGATACCTGTTATTCATGATATTATTAACGATATTGTAGTAAAACGCTGCCTTTTAAAAAAAGATGTAGTAAAAAAGCTATTTCATAGATTATCGATTTCGTAACAAACTCGATTCAGTTTGAACAGTCCTGTATTGTAATCATGGTAGGGCCACGCTGCAACCTAAGCTGTGGCACGAATGGGCAGGGTCTTCTGAAGTACCACGACCTCACAGAAGACCAGCGTGAGGTGAGAGTATTGTATATACGCGTATCCGACTGGTGAGGGAGGCGGATCCCACTTTTTTAAAAAGGTTGTCAACGTATCTACAAGTCCTATGGTGTTGCCGATAGCCACAAGCGGCGGTGAACACATAACCTCGGGTGAACCGCCCGCGCGCTTGACGTCTTTTCACATACAAAAAACCCTGGTAGTAAAAAACTATAGTAGTAAAAAAGAACAGTAGACGCTAACTGCTTTTTCATTACCCGTGGGGGGTGAATCGGTTTAGAGCATATTTAATTTTTAAATATATTTGAAAAGGATCGGTTTAAAGCATAGATATTTTTAGATACTATTGTAAATCGTAAAATCGTTTACGGGACACGGGACAAGTATTTGTGTGAACCACAGATTGTCAGGCAGGCAGCCGGTAGCCCCAGCCAATACCAGTAACAACACAACAGCCACGCCTCGGTGTTGTGGAAGTGATGGACGTTAATAAATAATTTAAGAACATGAAGCAAGTACAAGAACATTTGCTTACTTGTGGCTTGCACTTCTTTAACGCCGCTTAACTCTTTCAGTATAATTTTTTGTAAAGGAGGTAAATGAATGACAATCAAAACTAAGGTTTTTCTTATTTTTTTTATTAGCCTTACTAGATAATGTCTTACTAAGATACGTTACGTTATATGTAAAAGGAGCTTATCACTTGACGTCATTCGATATCACGAAGGACGGTTCGTAATCGACCCGATTCCGACGGGAAAGCGATAAATTATTCAAATGCGGATTACACCAACATTTTATTATACTCGACTACATCACTGAAAACACTATGGTTGGAATTTTATTGCTATGGGCATACATATGTTCGTCAAAGCGAGAGAGACGAGAATAGCTATAAACTTTTAATCATGTTTCATGGTCACATATAATATGACTCGGTAGCATAGTTGCCAAGCTATTGTTTCCGGCGCCGGGGGTCGAGGGTTCGATTTTCACACGGGACGAGGGTTTGTGTGACCCACAGATAAATATTGTGGCTCTGGGTGTTTATTCCTAAGGAGAACACGACAGACAGGCGGTCGCTCGTAAAATATCTACCCACTACAATTAACAACGTGATAAACATATTACACCGACCTCTCCTTGATAAAGACATTATAAAGAACAAGAACACATCTATTAACTTGAATATGTAGAGATATTTATAGTAACAGATTCACAATTTTTTATGAAACAGGTTACGACAGCACAACACTAAATAATCTTTGTCACATTTAAACTTTTTCTGTAAAATTCACCAAAACATGTTGTTGGTTGGTTATTAAATTGCGTAATAAGTATATCATTATAGATTCACACTCTTAACTATGAAAGAATTATATAACAATCGTTTTTCCGAGAGAGAAATAAAGAAAAGAAAAGAAACACGCGTAGGAAACTATTTAACCAGACTTAAAAAACCACCGATTTTTGGTGCGCACTACTACTAATACACTACTCATTTATAGTACTAATATTTAGTAGTGAATATGCTATCTTCATTGCCGTTGTAGGTCATGCAACAGCCTCTGTTGCACGATTGTGAAGGGTCGTCCGTAAAAGTCAACTTTTTGCATAAAAAATTACTAGTTGTATAGATAGCTTCATTTGTTTTCCGCAACATGGCGAGATATAATTTTTTTCTGATCATGGTATCTTTCAGTTAGACACACATCTACTATCTAATAGCAGATAATAGCTCTGGACGGTTATCAGAACAGTTAAACTTAAATGTTTTTAATTCTTTTTTTTAATTATTATAGTACCTATAACGTGTCGAATGTGTTATTACAGTATAACAATTAATTATGAATTGTTTTATTATAGTATACACACATGGCTATGAACAGGGAAGGGTGGTGGGTGATACATAGCTGAACTGCTGGGGCGCTGCACCGACAAGAGCCTAGCTCTTAAATTAAAGAAGAAGATATTAGAACGTCTTCGGTTTCCTTTTTTTATGTGAAAAGTTGCCAAGCGAGCAGGCGGTTCACCTGATGTTAAGTGAATGCCGCCGCCCATGGACATTTGCTTTTTTACACCCGAGGGTTACAGATGCGTTGTCAACCTTTTGAAAATTGGGCTCCGGCCACCTCACTCACTAGGCGAAACGCGAAAGTATTTCTTATACTTCCACTTTGCCGGTCTTCTGTGAGGTCGTGGCACTTACCCGGACGAGCCTGCCGATTCTTGCAATAGCCGAGGCTGCTGCGTGGCCGTACCACCAGATTATTCAATAACACACATGGGTGTCACACAGCTGAGCTACTGGGACGCTGCACCGACAAGAGCTCTTAAATTTAAGAAGAAGATAGCATAACGTCTTGCCTCCTCCATACAGACAATCCATCAACATACCGCCATCTTTAATCCGCTCTGACGTTGACAGAAGATGAGCGGTTACGGCAGCCTGCCGGGCGGCGGCGCCGACTCGGACGCGCTGTCGCGGCGGCTGCGCGACGCGGAGCGTGCGCGCGCCGACGCGGAGCGCGCGCACGCCGACGCGCTCTCCCAGCTGCGGTCGGCGCAGCGATCGCCGCTAGACGCTCACAATGTGGAGCAGCTGCAGTCTAGGGTGCGAGAGCTCGAGAAAAAGGTAATGCCGCTGGGAATTCTCCATAAATCGTTTGCCGCATACATTGTTATGGTTTCATGGTTTCACTATGTTCATTTTTCCTGCGGTCATATTTTATTAATATTGTGAAACGGCTGGACATAACTTGTACCGCAGCCGCTCGCTGTATTTCGTGCTGAGTGGGGATGAAATTTGACAAAAAAATTACACCTACATTTTATTTTTGTCGTAGTTAGCGTTTTTATAAATTGTATAGTTTTTGTTTATTTTGTTCCTTCATTCGTTATTTTTTATTTTTTTGTTGTGTCTTTGTGTAGACTTAATATAACATCAAAAGCCAAGAAAAGCTCATTTCATGTATCCTTCAAAAATTAGTATTTTCCAGGTCTAAGTAATTAAACCATTTAAAACGGGAAATCCTGCAAGAAAGTAGAAATAGTATTTAATAATTTTATTTCTAGGCCGCATTAGAGACGGTGCGATGCGAGGAGTTGCAACTGGAACTGTCATCGGCATTGCGTGCACGAGGCGCGTCCACTTCGGCGACCTGGTCCTCGCAAGCGGGGCAGCCCGCCTCCGAAATCGAGCGTATCATGGCTAAAATCGAACAGGACAATAGGATTCTTGCCGAGCTAGAGCACACGAGGTCCACAACACATGGTAAGGTGGAGGAGGTTCGAGAAAGTTTCAAAACACGCCTACGGTCCTCTCAATAATCGCTAATGTTTTCTCGTGATCAGGAATGCAATCAAGTGGATCGAACCAGGCTTTAGGAGAGTTTCATTCGCCGACACCATCGCCGCTGCCCCATTCGTACACCAGTGCGACGGGCCACATGGCCATTTGCCAGAGCAACACGATGCCAACGCTGTCGTCGTTGCACGCCGCCGGGCAGTTCACAGCACCGAGCTCTAACTCTGTCGCCTATTCCATGAGCGCACACAATCCCACTTCCTACTCCAACCCTATACCTTCTTACTCGTCTAATACGTACGGCTTGTCCAATACTCATCAGGTCACATTTACGAATCCCGTCACCGCGCCACTTGTGAACAGCATCAGCCAAATTTCCAGCACTCTGGCCGGTCTGCAGAGTAACCTTCAGAATATCACTGGCAATGTTTCGGCGATGAGTTTAGGATCGACCCTTACTGGACCAACGTTGACGGGAACAATGGCCGGCTCTGGGTTACCGAGCTGCTTGAATACTGTGCAGACGACGTTACCAGGAGCCATAACTCACACGCTGGGCTTACAGTCGTCCCTTACTGGAGGATTAGGAAATGTTACAAATTTGGGTACGGGCACCCAACTTGGCGGATTAAATACAAATCTAACTGGCACCGGCGCTTATGGTACGGGCACTGGCACCTACACGAACCCTCTACTTAGTGGAGGCTTATCTGGAAACACAATGAATATCAAGCTGAAACCCTTGGACGAGATTGATCTTGGCTTAGGTAGATACGGGACTAATAACTCGAATATAGTTAGAGTAGCGACTCCTGTTACACCGCATCAAACTTCTTGGAATCTTGGACTTGATAGCCAGTTTGGAACTGATAGGCTCGGTGGCATAGACTCTGGGTTTAGCCACGACCGAAACCAAAGAGGATTATCAAGAATGATGCCCAATTCCGGTCTGGACATGGACGGTCGGTAATATTTTTTATTTAAGACATATAAAATCAAAAATGATAGTTTCAAATATAATTAATTTGTTTAGCAGTACGCAATACCCATTTTATGAATGGAGGAGGGACATCGGAGTTACAAGTTGACATGTTAGATATTCCAGGGAAAGGCCGTTGCTGCGTATACGTTGCTCGATTCGCATATGATCCACCTGAGTGAGAATATTTTATTATACACAAGAATATGGAATATTAATTTAATACAATTAATGTAAATGGTTATCTACATTTCATTTTACAGTATTGAAAGCGCAGAAGGTGAATTGTCGCTTAACCCTGGCGATTACTTAATCGTATGGGGTCCACCGGATCCAAATGCTTCCGTGCTTGAAGCTGAAATGCTTGATGGACGACGTGGGTTTGTGCCGGCCAACTTTGTCCTAAGATTAGTCGGAGATGATCTATTAGAGTTTCATCAGGTATCTTTAATCTATGAATAACAAATGTTTTGCGAATGCTGTGATCTGCTTGCTTGCATATTAACTTTGCCTCATGTTGGCTTTAAAATATGATTGCTCTATTTCAATAATCAGCGACCTCCGCAGGCCGTGGTGGCGACATTGCGGGATGCGGACGAGACTGCAACTACAGCGATAAGTGATCTGTCTCTTAGTCGGGATGTTGCACGCCTCAGCGAAATGGCAGACATAAGTGAGGGTCCAGAAGACGATGACAATGGTAAATGTCATTTCAGTCAATAGACTTTAAAAAAAATCTAGACGATTTTCGACATAGTTTTGTTCTCAGATAAATTACAAAATTTGTTAGTGACACGACACGACTAGCTTTTCGTTTTAATTTTCACAATTTAGCAGTAACATGATCATTTTATAAATTTCTCAATATTTATCATGTTAATTAATTCAAAACTTGCATGTTTTACCTAGACACTACGCTCTATTGGAATTTTAAAAGACAAATCATTGCGAATAGCATTAATTTAGTGACACACCGATTTTACGTAGCGACATAGTTCTATAGCTAAACCTTTGTCCCTCCCGATCCGACCTGTCCCTTAACGAATGGACTTCGCTGCACGCTTCTTCGTATGTCACACGCACTTCGCCTGGCTTGGCTGCACTCCTTCCCGCGGTCTACCCTCGAACCTCAACAGCCGAGCTGTTTTTCTCGTCGCTAGTTCCTGCTCCACGGCAGCTCACGCTCGAGAGGCAGCTCAACAAGTCAGTGCTGATTGGTTGGACGGCGCCCGAGGGAGTTCAGCAGGCCAACATCGAAAGCTATCACGTCTACGTCGACGGTGTCCTGAAGACTACAGTTAAAGCCTCAGAGCGAACTCGGGCATTAGTCGAGGGCGTAGATGCAAATCGAGTAAGTGATATTTAGACACGTAAATACTTTTTAGTTGGGCATTTTTCACTTCTTAGATTCTTAATTTTTGTGTAGAACTTTCGTATTAGTTTTTTTTATGACAGAGCATCTATAGTTTAAGTCATTACTGAGATATCTTGAAGGAGACGTAATAAAATTTAATTATCACTTCGAAGCCCCATCGAATAAGCGTGCGCTCGGTGACTGCGACGCGTCGCACGTCCCGCGACGCGGCTTGCACTATGGTGATCGGTAGAGATACCGGCAACATGGGTCCTACTTGCGTCAGAGCCAGTGGTGTTACCTGCTCCCAAGCTGTGATATCATGGTTGCCAGCAAATTCCAACCATCAACACGTTGTCTGTGTTAATAACGTTGAAGTAAGACGCAAATCATTAAAATTTTGTTGTCTTACATTGACCCTCCTACTAAAATTGTATTAATTTCAGGTGCGAACAGTAAAGCCTGGCGTGTATCGCCATATTATCACAGGTCTCTCACCAAGCACACAGTATCGGGTCACGGTTAGAGCCAAGCATTTGAGGGCTGGCCCACCGGGTATACCGATAGAAGAAGCTCCAGGAGCATATACAGACTTTCGAACTCTGCCGAAAGGCCTGCCGGATCCTCCAAATGAGATCATGGTACTTTTTCTTACTATTTTCCTAGACTAGCATGATGTGATACAGCATGCTTTTGAACGATATATTTACACTTTACAATCACACTACCCTCTCGCCGAAACAAGAGTTTTACGTTATTTGTGTGTCCCATATGACAAATATTGTCAACATCACTATGTAAATACTTAAACTTCAAAGGTTTAAAATCTGCTTCCTATGTCCGATCGATAGTTACTTTCATTGCACACGCACTCAAAATAGCTTTTTAACGCTCACGAAGTGTGTGATGACGATAATTATACATATTTATTTTATCACTGGAACATTCCGCAACCCTATCCCTTAAAAGTAACATCACAAACTCCAAGCACGCGGCACGATCGACAATCTCGAACAAGTCGCGTCAATCGCAACCATAAATCCAGCGCCAGGACAAATTGATAACGACTTTAGTAATTCTCACCATGTTCAGTTAGCCTTTCCCACCTTTGTGACGTCGATTTATCCCCAGTCTGATTATTTGATGTACGAAACTGGTCACAGTTTTCGGAACGTATAAAACCAATTGGCCTTAGTAATTTGGCTGGATTGTTGGTGGTGATTGGTGCGGTGTCGCAGGTGGAAGCGGGGCCCCAGGACGGCACACTACTTGTGACATGGCAGCCCGTACTTCGCCCTCCGGCTTCCGGCCCCGTCACCGGATACGCGGTATACGCCGATGGGAAGAAGGTCACCGACGTTGACTCGCCGACCGGTGACCATGCTCTCATCGACATTGGCAAACTCATTGGCCTCAATCCAAAGTGTGTCACTGTGAGTATCGTACGGAGCTTCTGTAGGCTTCTCAAGCGCTACATTTCCGATATATTTGCGCTTAATAAACTGTCAGAGGAACTAACGCATCGCTCTATTTGCACAAGAACTAGTTTTGAAAACAATCACTATCGTTTTGTTTCAATATTGATACTTCATTTCTCTTACAGGTGCGTACAAAATCTCGTGACAGCCAGTCCAGTGATAGTGCACCCACACCAATTCCTCCGGCGGTGCTGCGAGGAGTTGCGTCGAGAGTACCACGAGGAGCTCCGATGCTCAATCAACCCACGCCCAGTTATCGTGGTCAGCAAAGACCTCAACCGTATCAGCAACAGCAGCAAGTCATTGAGCACGACGAAAATCTCTCTGACAAGGAAATATTTCCAAGTACCAATCGTCATGACCAACACGCAGCTCAGGTGAACATTAATTTGTAATATATTTTTGACTTTCATAATAACTTACAAGAAATTGTCGATTGCACGTCAAGAGTACTTGTATTTCAATTCAAGCGTTCATGGATTCACTATTTATTCCAAACTGAGATAATTAATTTTAATTAATATAATAATAATAATCTTGGCTTGGAAGCGACAAGATCCAATTGTGAGGAGAAGTTGTTTAGATCGATTCTTCTATTTCTTTTATTTTTACTTTACATTAATGTTATCAATTAAGTTTTTAAATAATCTGGACCATTTTGAGTCAACTTTGCTTATTTGAAATTTTTAATTAGATGTCTGACGATGATCTTACCTAATACATTTTTCAAATCTGGTAATAAATGTTGTTTTGGCACAGCACTTTGTGTTATATTAGTTTGCAAATCAGTGTCGTACACTATGTGTGAACTATCATAATTTCGTGACGTCCATTTATTTTTCCATCGAGCTTAATTATTTTTGATTTTTCCTTGAATTCCGTGACATGTTTTAGCTGTGATTACAGTTGTGTTACCTGCTCTCTTCTTGTGTCGTAAACGATTTGTTTTTAGCTTAAAATTTAAACTTTTCACAATGAACTCTATTTTCAATTAGTTATTTCGTTAATGTTTATATTTGGATAAACAGATCGCGTGCGATGCTTTAATCGGTGTTGCAAACTGCACTCTTTATACTATCTACTGTTGTTATATCGCTGGCATACTTTACTGTCCACTAGTTCTTTGCCGTCCGGTACCACTCGATGATCACCCGCCACCGACTAGCTGCACTTTGGCCGGAGCGATCGAACTCAAACGCATACTGCTTGCCACTAGATCCGTAGTCTCTAGTGCTATTGGCCGATACCTAAACAACCTACACCCTACTTTACCTTTGTATACTAGAACATATAAAGAGCTTGTACTTTGTGACACAGACAAAACCCTCCAGATCAAATTAATTTCAACCTAACTTAACCTTACCTCGTTCTCTCACATAACTGTTACACCTTTCCATAGCAAACGGGTGGATTCGGCACAGGTCTCCTAAAGAGTATATTCGACAAAATAACCCCTTCGGTAAGGAATTTTAACACGTTTTTAACTTTTTTATTTTTTTATTTCTTGTTTAAAGTTTTTCATACACGTTATTGTTTTTTTTTTGTATTATCAATTTTTGTTGTTTAGGAGTGGTTTTTAGTTTCAATCATTAGTTGTTATTTTATGTACTTTCCAATTTTGAAATTCTATTTACACAGTGTGCCCGTGTTCTCATATTAATGATACACAAAAAAAGTCTGTAGTCAATTACTTAAGTAATATAAAAAAGGCATTTTACCTTGGGTATGCTTTTCATTGATATTATTGTAGATAAAAAACTAAGCTTGACTAACTATAGGTGATAGTTGAATTTAATGTTTTCAAAATGATAACAATAGAAGAAGTCTTAATTTAGAGACTAGATCTTAGTCATAATGGAGATATATTTAGATCAATTATAAAAGGTGTAGCGCTAGAAACTATGACTTTTATGATAAAATGTTTTGTGGATTTGTTATATTAATACTATATTAAAACATTACTCAGTGCAGCGAGGAAGAGTTAGTTCAAATAATTTATTATTGATTAACCATTACGTTCCAACAATAATTTATTCAGTACAAAAACACATTGTCAACACGCCATAATACCATTAAGCGACGTGTGGGTACGAATGGGTACCAGGAAATAAGCGCCGAGTTGATGCACCTCTACATTAGAAAACCGGATTTTCTTCGCCATTCCTTCATGCCGGATTCTTTTGCTTTTTTGTCGTACCTATGAACTTTGACCTTCCTAGTTGATATGCCGAACATTTCACTTCTGTCTTAAACTAATCGAATGCTTTATATACGTACGTACTTTCACGCTTCGATGGTTTATGTTGCTACCTTCGGTGTGATGACTTCGCACTACGATCGCCATGTGTACTTGTTTCGTCACGGACCAGTCCTCCGACACCGCCACCGTTTTATTTTGTTTTGTCTAGATAGAACGATGTCTGTGTGTTAAAAATTTTGAATGACCATGTGGTACTGTCAGCAATCGGGGATACCGGCCATCGAAATCACTAAAGAGGGTGCCACGGAGCAGTGTTGCGAGGAGGAGGAGGCGACGCGACGCCGCCCGCAGGTCTGGGTCCACTCCTAACTGTCATCGATGTGCTCTCCATGTGCTGGCACTTTTCACTATGCTCTATCTCTTTTCGACTTTAACGGAGTTTCCGAATCACGTGTTTGCCACTATTCCGTTGTTTGTGTTCTCATCATCACTTGTCACCGTTAAGTCTTCGATGTTTCGATTAATACGACACTGATACACGTCCCTCACAACAGTCAGGTTACCACAGCGCCTTCGGTAAGATGCAAATGCGTTACGTTGTAGATAACTAAGTGCAATATTCTTACAGATTACTCGATACAGATTCATTTTCACCCGAGCATGCGCGGAGTGTCTGTGTTCCTGCATGTTGTCTTGGCTTCAACTCCTTTACTCAAACAACAGATCTCACACACTCGTTGTCTCTTTGTTATGTGATAAGGGTTTTTAAGCTGCAGCCACGTCAAAATATTGATTATGTGTTAAATGTTTTTGAACGTTTCTTTCTGCGAATCAATATGCTAAGAGGCTACTTTGGAACGATGGACGTTGTGTTATCACGAATATAATTGTGCGATTTCAAGACGCTGCACGCTAGCTTTCGTTGTGCATGGGGATTTTAATAGAGTAACAGGAATGTCTAAAATTAACGCTCAGGATAAAGGTAAAGTTTATGTTGCTTACGAACGCATAATGATAATGACAATATCTAATTGGCTACATGCTTGGTTATATTGCTGTTGGCTTTGTAATAGAAAAATCTAACCTTATTAATGTGTTGGTTCGTACGGACGTCAGCAGCAACCGGCCCAACCGACCCAAACGTCGCAGCAGCCTTCCGGTCCGCAGTACCCGAGTACACCAGCCTACCATGGCACGCAGCAACCCCCTTATCAACCGGCCGGCCAATTCCCAAGTAGCCAGCCGAACCAATATCCCGGCCAACAGCAGCAGTACCAGAACCCACCCCCGAGAAATCACCACGAACGGGGCCGCCCTCCTAACCCCCATCAGGTTCATACGATGCCTAATTAGAGCTTGAAATTGTGTCCAGTTCCTTAGTCAAACAAACTTTTGTATAAAAGTATTAAGTTAGTCTTTGCATACGATTCATCATCTACTTTTATTACTTTACGAAACACCTTGTTAATGGTAGATAGATTATTTTCCGTTTTGTTACCATCCATATGTCATTCTTAACTGATTCACCTCTATCTATGCTCTCTTCGTTTCAGTGTTGTTGTGGGTTTGTTTCAAAAGTGACATTTATTTAAGACAGATCCTTATAACAGGTGGGTCAGCAGGGCGGTTCACAATATGGGCCTCGTGGTGGGCCCCCGCCTGGCCCCCGGGGGCCAATTGCGGGCCCCCGTCAAGGTGCGCAAGGCCACCCACAATCCAAGAGGAGTCGCTACTTCATTGCTTTGTTTGATTACGATCCAGCAACTATGAGCCCTAACCCCGAGAGCTGTGACGAGGAACTACCGTTCAGTGAAGGAGACACAATTAAGGTTTGACAATTCATAAATTCGCATTTTTTTTAATTATGTGATAAAATAATAAAAGGTCTTCGACTTATTGTTCCACCTGGTGAGAAAAATCAAGTATAGCTATATATATACAACGAGGAAATGCAATGCTAGCGTTCTTAGTGCCTTACCATGTAGTCAAGAGTTAATAGATAACGTGTAATTTAGAACATAAATAAATAATAATACTCACTAACCATCAGTTGAGCCTACTGCTCGTTTGCCCCTTTTCTCCATAAAAAAAAAGCTCCTGTGCCAATCAGCAATCTCATAAGTCTCACGTTCAGGTTTGGGGCGATAAAGACGCGGACGGTTTCTACTGGGGCGAGTGCAGGGGTCGTCGGGGCTACGTGCCGCACAACATGGTCGTCGAGGTGTCGGAGCAAGAGGCCACGGGGCAGGTGGCCAAGCCTCGGGACCGCTGGACCGACGCGTACGCCAACCAGCCAGTGCGGCGGATGGTCGCCCTGTACGACTACGATCCGCAGGAGCTCAGTCCGAATGTCGACGCGGATGTGAGTCGGATATTACAGTGCCCAGAGTCCCAAAATATAGTTTCTACACATTGTGCGTCCCTTCGAAATCTTTGCAACATTCACTCGCCAAGAGACCAAGGACGATATGCCAGGAATATACATTTAAAGTTAAATCGATAGTATCTTAGTAATAATTAAGTACTCGAGAACTTTCATCTGCATCTAACATTGGTCATTAAAAGTAAAGAAAAACAATATGGATGTGAATGATATGAACTTGCTTTTCCATTACATTCTCTGGCAGCGGCAAAATTACCTTAGCAATTTATAACTCTCAGGCGGAGCTTAGCTTCCAAACGGGTCAGATAATCCACGTGTACGGCGAGATGGACGACGACGGGTTCTATATGGCGGAGATCGACGGTGTTCGGGGGCTGGTCCCGAGCAACTTCCTCACCGAAGCCAATGATCAGTACGGTCCTCCGGGGCACTCCAGCCAAGGTTCGTACTCCAGAAAAGAATGAAGTTTTTCATTCCGTTTTATAATATCAAGTTTGTAGGATTTTTTTCTTTTTGTTTTTCTCTAGCTTTGTTATAGCTACTCGTATTTGTTCTTACATATTTAATTAAAACGTCAAAGTTATTTTTATCGTTTTAGAAATGTTCATATTCAGTTTTTTTTAAAGCATCAGATTGTAAATAATAAATAATTATTCGTCTGCATTCCGCATGGAACATTTAGAAACGTTTTACGTCGTTGCTTGAGCAGGAGCCCCTGGGGCACCTGGTATGGCAAGCGGTAGGGGAATGGGACCAGCTCCGGCGCCTTCCGTGCCGGGCGCTGGGAGAGGGAGGGGCGCGGCCCCTGGGCCTGGTGCCCGGGGACCCCCGCCACCGCCACGCGACAATGTCGCCCCATCAAACCGCACCCAACACCGCAAGACAGGTACGCCTCTCCTCTCTCGGTGTAATGTAATGTGTAGCGCCGGTACACTGACAGGGATGTTAGATGATCGCACCTATCACGACTTCGTATTAATAGGCCTTGGACCTAGAAATAGTCATATTACTTGAGTGCCAATACTTGATGGACCTAAAACTTTGAAATTTAAATTTATTCTTGAGATACAATGCAATGTAAATGTTCCTATGTCATATTTAATATTATCTATAAAAACGATAAAATGCTTCCATCAATAACTTCAATATATCACGGGTCCGAAAGGGGAAGCTGAAATCACATAGCATCTAACATCCTTGAAGGGGCTTTTCAATATTGCTGTTATAGTTGATATAATTGTTAGTTGTCAATAAATTGGAGGATTGATAACGCGATTTTCGTCCAGCCGAACTATCAGATTTGGCGCGGACCACTAAGAGCTTTGAGTGTTTCATGTTTGCACCTTGACTTGCTATGTGACTACTCGCCTTTTCGCTCTGGTATCCTCTATCATCTTTCTTGTACACGGTGTTGCGATTGTGACGGGACTCGATGGTCGAGTATAAATTAAGAATTCGCCTTTCGGTTGGCGAACGCTTCGGCAAAAGAACAAAACATTGTACTGAATAACACATTTTGTGGTAGTTCCTTCTTTCGATATCCGTTCCTTCCCGGAGGTGAATGCTTCAAAGCGAGTCCGGTTGCAATCTACGGAGCACAAAGACTCTTGGTGTACACTATGCTGATTGACACTATCTTGGATTACACAGTCACTGACATCGCCTCAACTTATGTAAATTTGACTTGCCAACATACAGTACTGTCAAGTTGTACAGAAGGAACACATCTAAAATTACTCTTTGAACGAAGTGTGAGTATACCGCATTAAGAATTGTTTTGGCCGATGTTATTTCTTTTATCTGCGTTTACAATTCGACTATCTTTTCTGTTTTGTTTTGTTTTTATATTTGTTTTAATTGTTTCCACTTTGGTATTAACAATCACGTTAGTCGACACGGGGTAGGCTGGTCTGAAAATACACGCAACATAGCAAATGCACCGAGTTTTAGATGCTCGTGATGTGTGATCCAAGATTCAAGTGGTTGTCTGTGGTCACTATATATGTTGTGTGTATTGTCTGTTTGCTAGATGCCTGCCCTCTTCCCCCTTCTCAGTTAGACCACAACACATGCGCCAGTAATCCAGAACAGGCGAATTCTCAGGTAAAGAATTACCGTTTATAATTGACCCACAACAATACTATTTCCGACTTACATATAAGCAAGGGTACTATTTATGGTTTTCGTTCGACTGTCATTCACTACATACAATAGTTTTTCTCTTTTTTATTTCTCACTGTTCCCTTCTCTTCATTTCTTTTTTATAACCCTTTCGTTGCCAGTTACTTTGAGCATCGCATTTGGTGCCGACAAGTTAAAGACGTGTTACTTGGATCATGTTTATTCCACACGTAATTAGCTGTTATGCCTTTAGGTAACCAAATCATACATACTAGAACAGAATAACACTGGCGTATGCTTTACCCACATGAATACCATTACCCATTCACCATAGAACAGACCTTATGAAACCTCGAAACACGGTCCTATACACTCAGGTTACTGAAACTATGGGGACTATTGGAGGTTTTTATTTTTTCCTTGGCGCATTTACTTCTTCGCAAATGTAATGAGAGTGTGATATAGTTTATTTAACATAGCGCGTATTTATTTCTTAATGTTGCAACGCTATCTATTCTATCACACACTTGATTATCTATCTGGCTTTGGCTATGCATGCGAATGCACGTGTCTTGTACGCATGCATGAAATTGTCTCCAATTGTCATGTACTATGTTCCGGCGTGTAAGCAAATTAGTGCACAATTGTCCTCCAAATCAAATATTGTTGAAGTAAATGTAATGAATATTTGTGAATTGAGCAGTTTCTTGGTATGGTAATATGTATAATACAACAATGACCATATATAGTTTGGTCACAAATAGGATGATCAGCTCTTTCATTCAACAATGATAATAGACATTCATGTTGCTAGATAATAGTGATAAAACGACTCTTCTCATTATTTATTTTTAAGTCACCCTAGCAAAACCTTCAGAATTCTGTACTCTTGGAAATTATATTATTAAATCACTAGAAATTATATTATTAATAATTATAAATTAATAATTATTGAAAATATCAAAAATTGTCTAGAATCATTAATTGTTACGTTGAAATCTTAAGCAAAACTATTATGAAACAATTGTGAGTGTTCACCTTCAAACGCATATACTATTAACTACTTCTGCTGCGTAGAAAGGAATAGAGGTCCCATAACGTGTAGCCGCCGTGAGCCAATTCGGGCGGAATAGTTGCCGTGGCCGTTCGAGAGATCGACCATTTCTGCGGCCTGACGTACTGGCCACGGCTGAGCGGGAACTCACGGTGCGCGCGCTGCAGGAAGGCTTGCAACAGGCGAGGGGGAGAGGCGCGGGGAGCGCGCCGGCGGCGAGCACGATCGCGCGCACGAGCGCTGGTAACACCGCCAGCCCGACGGTGCAGTCGCCGGGGACCCCCGCCGCCCCCGCCCCCGCGCCGCAGCCGTCGCCCGCCCGCCGTCCCGGCCCCGCCGTCGTGCCCGCCCCCCAGACCCCCGCGCAGCCGCCCACCTCGCAGGCGAACCTCATGCAGAAGTTCACGGAGATGACCGCGCCCGGCGGCGACATCCTCAGCAAGGGCAAGGAGCTGATCTTCATGAAGTTCGGCCTCGGCGGTAAATAATCCAGGCCCCGAGGCCCCCGCGGCCCCTAAGCCCCCGCCGTCTTGTCTCGTGTCCCCGCCAAGTAAGTGCGACTCCTCGCGCCCCCATTTCGTTTCCCAATGGTCGTCGCTGCTGCCGTTTGCCGGTGAACGGTGTACAAGTCGGTTTTTTTTTTGCTACAATAACTATGTTCGGTTAACCGCTAGAGGGTACGTGTAAGGGATGTAAATAAGAAAACCAAAAAAAAAAAAAAAAAAACAATAAACGCACAGTATAGGGAGTATTCAAATGTTAGTACAGTCCGGATAGTGCGCACGGTTGGATTTGCAACACCCGATTGTAGTTTTACGTCGTTCGTATTCTGTATCAGACCTGTGCTCCTCTATTAGATTTAGTAATAAATGGTACGAGAACTGTTTGCTTTACCGTCTATCGTTTAGTTTGTGTGCAATTTGTAAGATTTGTGTTAATAAGTACATCCTGTTGTTATATGGAATAGTTTATATTGTGTTGTTGGTTGCTAGATGTTCCTTCTAAGATCCATATAAATTAATCGTGACTTTTACAAACTAGATAATTCGTATGGCGTTTTTAACGCATTGAGACTTTTTAGTATTCTATAAATTGGAAGGTCCCAATCTCTTATTCAACTTTCCAACTATGCTTATTGATAAGGGCATGTAATAATTGGATATAAAGAAGTTAAATATTAAATATTAGGTGATACTGCCACAAGACATAATGTTAAATCCAAATATCTGTTACATCTTTCTTATAAAATAAGCTATATATAAAAATTCTTGAGATAGATATAGATAATTGATCAGAATTATCAAGCGGCAATTTATAAAATTTTTGGGCTCAATTTTAAAACTTGTGGTTTCATAATTCTGACGAATAAGTTTAAAACAATTCTTTTAATTTTAAAAAGCGTTCATGTAAGCATATTGACTTTGTACGCTGCTCCCAAAGATCGAAATAATAAAATTCTGTGATAGTAGACGTGATAACATCTTTGTCATTATAAATATAGCAAGATCATCGCATCAGTTAGACTTTCGAGTTCTGAAATATATTGAATTTGTTAAGAAACATCTTTTAAAATTGTGGGGATATTTTAATTATTGTCATTATGTTAGTTTGTGTTAGACATTATATTTGTTACGTCTTTATATTAATTATATGTTTAAGGGGTTTCTGCATTCACTATCTATAAAATTTAAAAATGCAAATTAATAATTAAATCAATACTAATCCAATAAAAGCAAATTGAAAAAAAAAATAAATCCAAAGCAAATGGTGAAAACTTAAAACACAAAGAAATATTTCTCTTCTTTAAAATTAACCATTACCTTAAAAAAAGAAATATTTCTTTTGTTTTAAAGCCAAATCTGCATTGGCAGTTAATATAATAAAGTTCCAAAAAAAAAAAAAAAGAAAACAGAGTGTATAAGTATGTAGGTATGTCAGAATAACCTAGCCGTATATACTTAAAAATATACCTTTAATGTTCAACAGATAGAATACCTGGAGCATTTTTGGCACAAAAGAAGTGGGTGAATCTAAAAGTTGATTTGTGGTCAATGCCGTGTATAATGTATGCTATGAATTAACAAAGTGGTAATAATAGACGGGAGAGTCGATTGAATACCTTTCACGAACTATCGTTTTAACAGTATTTTATTTATATTGCATACGCGCGGCTGGATGATTCAAAAGCATAATTTTCACGACTGAGATCTCCCTGACCTCCATACCATACAATTGTACTGTGCAATGCTGAAAAAATGCATTAATGCGGAATAGCGGGCTACGCTCGCTCGGGAAATGGCTACTTGTGAATTTTTCGCGCGGAACGCAGCGAAAAGTATCTGAACTTTCATGTTATAACATTAATATTATAATTATGATGGGTTTTATCAATTTGTTTCTGTAAAAACTTTCATTCACAACTTACAATATATATAGTTTTCTGTTATACAAGAATTTGGAAAGATTGATGAATTAAAAAAGTTAATTGGTGTGTTACGCTTATGTCAATGAAGCGACTAAAATACAGTTTTCATGATATTTTTTAAAGTTACAATAATTAAAAATAGATACAATTACTGTGTAAAATCACAGTCCGAATTAACAGCTTTTACTTTATGGATGTTTAAATACAATTTTTTTTAAATATATTGGTTACAATTTTATTTGTTATTAACACTATAGAATAAACCAGTACAATTTCTTAGTACCTAATACTTTCTGGGATTGCAATACCGCTATGATTAATGAATTTTGGGAATACTTTATGGCTTTTTTAATATGTCGAGATATCTTTTCAATTGATTGCTCTGTACGTAATGACTGATTGTATTACTGCATTACAACTCTGACACTGGCATATATTGTAGGTCAGTACCGTTAAAATACAAAACTAGATATTATATATATATATACATATATACATTACCCAATAAATTTTAATTAGCACAAAATTTAATTATATTATGGTGATAGGAATATCATTATTAATTATTAAAACAATTATAAGTTACCGTTGTAATCATTTTAAATTTGCCTAGTTGCTTGCTTTATTTCGCCAACTGACTCACAAATGCCAGTGTCAAAGAAATTATTTATTCTTAAAAATGCTATATTACCTTTATTTAAAATTAAGTTTCCAAGCGTCTGGTGCCAAGGAATGTAATGTTGAAAACCTACAAAGTTTTGCGCCCGGTTTCTAAAAGACAAGGAAAGAATTAAAACTTCTTGTTTTACTTATTAACTAATCAGTTCTCAAATGGTTTGTTAAATGTCATCTGTTTTTTTTTTATTGAAATTGTTTTTTAAATTGACTCAAAATCCAAGGTTTAACCATCCTTTTCGCAACTCAAATGACTTGCATAGAGTGATGATGTTCATTTGTTTCATTCTAAAGTACTTTAATGATGCATATTACGAAATATTTTTTGTGAAAAGAAGTAAAACACGTAGTGAATTTATAAATATTTAATATGAAATGTTCATTTTAAAAGAAAATTGGCATTACACATTGTTTTAAAGTGTTATTCGAAAAACATAAAACAGAAACGCTCGTATAAATTCGAATAAACTATCTTAAAATTGTTTAATCCGCACTTGACTTCATTTATAAGAAATTTAATTGAGCTGCAGATTGCATTGTCTGAGAAATTAAGCTATAATAAAAACATGTTGGAAGGACAGTTTCTTCGTGATTGGTTTTAAATGGTTTCTTAGAGTAATATAACAGCTGTTATCTGTTTCTTTTCTTCGCACAATATTCGACCATGAACTTCTTGGCACCAAATATGTTTTGCTACTATGATGGTGATTTCAAATTTATAGTTTGATAGCTTCAACGGTTTCGTGTATTTGGTAATGAGTTGAAGAAGTTATATCTAAATGAAATGCAAAATGTAGGTTATAGTGTAGGTATTACTTACAAACGAGTCTAGATAGAGGCGAATGTATTACGCAAGTTCTCTTTGTTTCGACGATTTTCATTAAGTTTTCTCTTCTACTCTTGCATAACTCTCGTGCGTCTTGTGCGTTATAAATTATTCATTTCGTATGATTTAGAATAAAATATGTGAAATTGTTGTTGTAAATATTGATCGGTAAGGTTGCTTGGACTGTAGGCTATTACAAAATGCTCACTTCTAACAAGGGTTAACCTATTAAGTCCACTTTATCGCTTCATATTTATATGGGACGTGGCTAAAGTTGTAATTCGAAATCTTCTCACATATAAAATCCAAAAATTAGCTTGAGAATACTTACTAGTTGTAAACGAGTTCATACATAATGTTATAACTTATAACGTACTTAGTCCGCTATTTAGTCCATTTTGGATACATTGAATAATGTTTATTGAGAACTGGTTGTATATAATTCGTGAGCGGCCGCCATTTTGTGAGGAGCGCCCCGCCACATATCTTTTTACTTGTATAACCCACATCGATTAAAGTTTTTTCTAACATTAATTAATGAATTAATTATTCTAGTGTTATCTTAAACACCGTTTAAAGTTGTTTACTCGTTTATACATTGTTATAAAACTGTATCCATATCTTTTATCACATGTAACGTGTATGGTTATTTATACGGAATAATATATATGAGGATAAAAAATGTATATTAATCCTGCATTCATGAGTGCATATTACGACATGTTGTATATTACTTATACTTAACAAATACGAACACTATCTTTAATGAATGAATTCTTTAACAATGTACCAATGAAGTATGCTGAGATAAATAAATGATACAAATGCCGCTTCTTTATTTCTTGTATTTTACTTCCCTTTTACAAACGCACTAATCAGGGAATAACCCGTGCATGCTGCGTGACCCGCAAGAAAATCGAAGCAAGGTCATCGTTTCTTGTAATAAAAAAGTGTAAACATTTTTAACATTGCGACGGTAATTTTAATCTCTAATTGCATCAAATTAAAACAGCAAAGTGGCGCTAGACATTAACAAAAATGATAAAATTGTTTATAATTAATTTTATTATTAGTGCTAGTCTCTGCACTCGAGATTAAACTTAACGTGAATTTTTTGTATATAAATTGTCGAAAATTTTTCACGGCACCAAGCATTGCTTAAAGCGGATAAATGTGAACACACAGATTTCGAGTTGACGAAATGATGGGAGGTGGTAATATCGGCCTCTACGATCAGTGGTTAGAGCTTCTGGGTGAGTCCCGGAATTCGCTTGTTCGAATTCTGCAGTACCAACAATTATGACATTTCATCTAGCCCTAAAAATAAATTAATCATAAAAAATATTTCAATAACAAATGCGTCATCTCTCGTTCAAATGTATATTATTTTATTTGAACATAATAATGTAATAATTTTATAAAATTCTATTTAAAAAGTGGTTCTGCATCCTGTAAAGTACGCACACTACGTGCCTTGAAGCATTGATGAAAACGAAAAAAATATATGGATAAGATAGATTCGCGACCTAAGTATAAGCCGATATGTTCAGGTCTCGAAA